ATTATTTCCGATTTTGGAACATTTTTCTGTAATTCGATTTTCGAAATTCTGAATTCTGAATTTTCCAAAAAAAATTGGATCCAAATTAATTTCGATTTTTTTCCTAAAATTGCCCATTTTTTTATATATTTAAAACTCAATATTCATTTATATATATATTACATTTTTTTATACTAGAACTAAGACAAACTGCAATTTATTAATGTTGGGTTGAGCCTCCAATTTATTTGTTTAAAAACATTGGCATTTTTACCCATGTAAATTGGTCTAGTATGCAAAATCAACTACCACCCTATTCAAGCCTAACCTAATCCATAATTTCCAATTCATCACAGCTGCGCCGCTTTCTTCTTCTCGAAAAAAAAAAAAACCTAATCCCTTTTTTCATCTTCCTTCTTCTCAGCCCAACCCTTTGCTCAGGCTTCTTCTCCGACGTTGTTCTATTTCTCAACCACATATTTTGTTTCATTTGTAGTTAATTCATCATGTTATTTCTTCGTCAGTCAACCGATCAATCTCCGCCATTTACAAAGAACTATTTTCTTTTTTGTAATTTCAGTAGACATTCGCAATTTCATGAATTATTTATAGGGCGAATGGCAAATAGGCTCATCACATGGGACTTAAATGCACATTAGTCCACAAAAAAAACTGTCTTTCATACAAGGGGTCATTAGCAATAAGCCCTTCATACAAATAATAAATGCTGATATGTCCACCCTTTAAATGTTTCTTTTTGATAACCCCTAGAAATTGTATTCCAAATTCTACCCTTATGTCAATTAGCATAATTAGTCTCAATTATTCTTTTTTTTTTCTCTTTCCATAACAATAATCTAATTCCTAAAAATTTGCTTCCAAATTCCTAAAACATTGCTACCAAATCAAAAAAATATGGTTTTTTTTAATTTATTTTTATTTATTTTTTTAATATTTTCGGATTATTTATCCATTTTTTTTTTATTTTTTTTATAAAATTAGTTTTTTTTTTTTTTTTTTTTAAACAAAAAATTGTTTTTTTTTTCTCGACATGTTTACAACTCCGAATATGACTATATGTAACTATGTAGACATATTCTTTCATTATATTACAATTTCTTACATTTTCAACTTAAAAATTCCGATTATACAGTGTGGTATAGTCATGTTTACCAAATTATATAAAACAACGAAGATTCGCTATTGTTTACGAAAACAATCCAATCAAAATCCACACAAAAAAATAACAATTTTGAATCTAGTTATTAGAAGTCAACTTAAAAACGAGAAGATAGAACATATTCAAATATGACTACAGTCATATTCAACAATAATCATATTCCAATATGACTAAAATCATATTCCAAAAATACATAAATATGACTATAGTCATACTCGAATATGACTATAGCCATGTTACTGCTGCTGTTCAGATTTGGAAAACAAAAAATCAAAAAATACGTAAATAAAGATAGAAAAATAACGAAAGAGAGGCATGGGGAGTCGACAACAACGGCGGTGGTGGTGGTAGTGAAGGAAAGAGAGTGAGAGAGGCGGCGACGGTGGCGGTGGACAAATCTGAAAAGAAAAAAAGAAAAGAAAAACAATGAAATCGAGAAAGATAACGAAAAAGAAAGAAAGAGCCTAACGTGGAAACAAAAGGCAACAAGGGACGACGGTAATGGTGGTGTACAAATCTATGTGGAGACGATGGTGGTGTAAAGAGAGAGAAATCGAGAGAGGCAACGAACACGAGAAAATAGTAAATCACTAATCGAATTAATCAACAGTAGTCCTGTTCGAACCAGAGTAGTCACGTTGATGTTGCTATTTCAGATCTAGAGGAAAAAAAAATCGAAATAACGAAAGGGACGGAGGGGGAGGCTACGACAACGACGGTGAATGAAAAAGAGAGTGGGGACGTGGCTACAGTGGCGATGGTGAACAAATATGGAAAAAAATTTTGAGAAATCGAGAGAGAACCAAAAAGGAAAATCTCCATGTAACGCATCTGACGAAGGGCGGCGACGAGGTGGCGGAGGCACCGCCGCCACCACTTGTACGGAGGAGGGCCTCCTGCATTAGGTTTCGGCCGACCGGCGGTTGAAAGGTGTTGTTGGCTTCGGCGGTGACGAGTGCACGAACAACGGTGGCTATGGTGAGCGGACTACGGCGGTAGTGTGAAAAAAGGAGTGCGCCGACGGGTATACATATCTGCAGAAAGAAGAAGGAAAAAAAAGGACGTGAGTTGAGAACGAGAGAGAGAGAGAGAGAGGGAGTGAAAGAGAGAAATAAAATTGCATCACGTTAAAAACCTAACCACATAAGGGCACTTTAGTCTTATCATATTTGGTCAAGGGGGTCTCACTAATTAAGAATGGAACTTGGGTGTAGATAAAAGTCTTTAAAAGTCAATTGAGTTTAGATCAAAATATTTTCCATTTGAGGGGGTATTGCATATTTCCCCTTCAAATAAACCCATCCCCAAGTTTTTAGTCTAAAATACCCTCCATAATATAATTCTTATCAATTCCATCCATTATGCTCTAACTTCTTAATATTAAACATTGACCCGGATTTAAACAAATATATCACATTAACCCCCAAAATAATATTTTTTTGAAAAAATATATTTTTTTCTAAATTTTTTTTTCGGGGCAGAATTAGGCATTGAGGGCCGGTCCTCGGCGTTGACTTTTTTTTTTTTTTGAAAACTTTTTTTTTCTGAAATTTTTTTCCGGTCGGTCAACCACCGTTGATCGCTGATCTCCGGCGTTGATTTTTTTTTCGAAATTTTTTTTCTTAGAAAAAAATATTTTAATTAATATTACTGTCTTGGCTACTAAATTACTGTCTCAGACAGTAATATTACTGTTTGGGACAGTAATATTATGATTTTTTTTTTCCCGAACAGTAATATTATTAATATTACTATCTGAGACAGTTAAATTACTTTTAGAGACAGTAATTTAGTAGTCAAGACATTAATATTATTTAAAATAATCTTTGTTAAGAAAAAAAAATTTCAATAAAAAAAAAGTCAATTAACAGTTAAATTACTGTCTCCGACAGTTAAATAACTGTTGGAAACAGTAATTTAGCAGCCAAGACATTAATATTAATTGAAAAAAAACTACGAAAAAAAAACGTCAATTTACAGTTAAATTACTGTCTCCGACAGTTAAATACTGTTGGAGACAGTAATTCAGCAACGAATACCATAATATTAATTCAAATATTTAAAAAAAAATAGTCAATTAACAGTTAAATAACTGTTGGAGACAGTAATTTAGCAACGAATACAGTAACATTAATTAAAATATTTTCGAAGAAAAAAAAAAGTCAATTAACTGTTAAATTACTGTCTCCGACAGTTAAATAACTGTTGGAGACAATAATTTAGTAGCCAAGACAGTAATATTAATAAAACTATTTTTTTAAGAAAAAACAAAATTATATTAAAAAAAAAAAAAAAAGTCTACGCCGGAGACTGTTAGTGGTGTCAAAATTGAAATTAGGGTTAAAATTGATTAATTGATGAAATTGAGCTAAATTGCGGTGTAAATCTTGAAATTAGAGTTCAATTTGGTTTCAATGAATTGGGAGTAATTTTGATATATATAAAAGGATTTTCCTTATTTGCAAATAAGTTTGAATGGGCTGGATTTATTTGATAGACAAAAAAGTTGGATGTCCCTCTTTTAATTAAGTGCCCTTGTCATGGGCCTATCTTGATCGTGTTGCACCATAGAGAGCAATTAACGCTCGGTTTTTTTTTTTTCTTTGGTATTTTTGATTTTTTTTCTGCTTTTTTTCCCTTTCTCGGAAAATTGCGAAAATTTCCGAATTTCCGAAAATTCCGAATGTATCGGAATCGGAACTCATTTTTAGATTTGAATATTTCATAATCGGAATTAGAAATGAGATTTTAGTTGTGAAAAAAATCGGAAATTTTCCAAATGGCCTATTTCCGATCCGATCCGTTCGATTTCCACCCCTAGTCACTAGGCCAAAACAGGACATTGGCGACGTTTTCTTTCGCGACGAAAATAATTTCGTAGCAAATTTGCGACGTTAATAAATAAATATCGTCGCAAGCTCCATCTCGCCACCAATTTTGAAAATGATTGCGACGAAAATCCTAGATTCGTAGCAAATGATTCTAATTTGGTTTTTTTAATAATTAACTATTGCGACGAATTATATTTTTTCGTAGCAAAATATTTAAATATTATTTTATTTTATCTTGTTTGCGACAAAAGTGTGTAAACCGTCGCAAGATATTTCTGAAAAATATTTTTGGGCGACGGAAATATGTGAATCGTCGCAACCTATGCATTTAAAACTTTTAATTTTATTTTATTTGCGACGAAATTCTCGGAATCGTCGCTCACGACTTAATTTATTCACTTACCCCTCTCCATTTCTGCCGTTGCCCTAATATTTTACTCTCTCTTCCTCCACACTCCCTCCCCTTTCCTGTCATTCTCACCGTCGATTAAATTGACGCTGTCAATCTTCGCTCCCTAAGTTTACTCCCGTCGGTGCCGCCGTCGTTGCCCAAGACCACGCCCCCTGCAGTCGCCGGCCGTCATCTTCGTTTCCAATCGCTGCCACTGCGTTCAGCTAGACGCCGTCCACCATCTATGAAGCCCAGCCCTCAAAACTCTAGGTATTAATTTACCTATTTATGAGGTAAATAGCAGGCACCTATATATGCAATTTTTATGAATTAATCGTTTAAATCAGAACATGGGTTTGTCTTCAGTATTTTTCGATTAGAATTAGGAATCAAGCTGCAAATTTTTTGTTTAATGTATCTCTGCTTCAATAGTAGTGTTTTTCTGTGTTTTGATGAGCCATTTATTATAAGATACTTTGTCAGAATTATTGATTTTTTTATATTGTGATATTATGTGGTAGGGTGTGGAGAATGAGATTTCTGTGCAGAAATTGGTCTATAAAATTAAATAAGTATATTAAATGAATTATAGTAGAACAAGAGTATATTTTCGTGAAAGTCAATGTGCAAAAAGGTCAGTATCGCCGAGCAATAAGTAATGAGTGTTGGGCTCGTTTCCATCTCGGAGCGAGAAAATGTCGGGGTTCCTCGAAATAACGGAGTCCTCGAAGTTATCGGGCAGACCCAATTCTCTCCAGACCTTGAAAATGGCACGAAGGGGCAGCTTTTTGGTGAGGGACATTGATAGGAGCTTGACCAATCGGGTTACTGCGAGGGGCGTGGATTTGTTTAAGGCGTCGGATTCTTGGCGGACGATTAGGCGAGCGGCGGGTGTGAGTGTGCAGTAGGGTTGGAGGTTAACGGGGTGGGTGAAAATGTGGACGATGTGAGGGTAGGTGCGGAGGAAGGCGGAGGGGCCGCGGTTGAGGTGGAGTTTCTGAGAGAGGCGGTGGAGGAAGTCGATGGAGATGGAAGGTGGAGTAGATTGGGAGGCGAGGATTAGATCTTGTATGGAGATTACTTTGAGGAGGTTCTTGTATTTCGCCATTAGCTTTTCGAATGTGGCGTCTCTGGCTCTGAAGGTCTGTTCCTTATGTATACGTGTCTATATGTTGGTAACTTGTGACAAAATCTCATAACTTGTTGGTCTCTTGGTTGTGATTTATTGCAAAGTGTTTCGTATTTGTTACATATGTTTGATCATGGTATTTTGTATTTGCAGGCCCAACAAAATTAGTTCTGAGCTTAATATTAAAGAAAAAATCCATAATGAACAAGGATTAAATTTCACAAACTAATTTTTCTTTGCTTTTAACATGTCTGTAAGATTATGGTTCTTGGTAAACATTGTTTAATTTAACATCTTTTTGTTATATATTCAGCAGGGATGTATGCTAAGATACAATGCCGATTACTGATGCACTTCTTGGATTTATGATGAAATAGTGGCAATTTATCGTCGCTTTTTTTTCTTGATACTCTATCTGTCGGTAGAAGAATTCCCCTGCTCAAGGTACGTACCTCACTATTTATAAGTTTCTTTCTTGAATAGGAAGAATTATTTACTTGCTCTGCTTCAAGATCTAATTTCTTGGAGAACGTGATTAGAAGTGGTAATTTAAGCATGTTACTTCTCTATAATGTGTGGATAATGATTATCCCCGTTCATTTTTGTTTAAGCTTTAACTGTGTTTTTTTAATAATGAAAGATGGTAAAAATTTCGGTTTATGATTCTTCGTGTAAATTATAAATTGGGTATGAATAACACGGTAAATTTTAGGCAATAGGCTTCGTTTTATATGCATCATTTGGTTTGATAGCAGTTTCTTCATGTTAGATAGTAGTTGTTGATGTTGATCGATGTCATGGATTATACACTTCTTCTTTATTTTATTTTATTTTATTTAATATTGTGAACTTGTACTCGTTCGTATTTATACGTAATGCTTATATACTTAAATATTTTTTTCAGGCACGCTTGGAAATAGTTTATGATCAAGTGGATAACTAATGATGAATGGATAAAAGAATGTGGATCAACTCCTTTATGTAATTCTACAATATTTTTCTTAATTTTTGTATTTTTTTTTAACTTTATTTGGATGTATTTGACCTTAAATTACAATTTTAATGTGATGTGTTATTATATCTAATAATTAATTGTGTTATTATAGTTGATAATTAATTACAGGTTAATTTCTATTTTATTATTCAGCGTAAAAAAATAAAATAAAAAAATTGCAATGTTCCTAGAAAAACGTCGCAAATTAATGAATAAATGTTGCGACGAAAATATTAAAAACGTAGCGAATTGAGGGATAAATAATTGCGACGAAATATGTTTTCGTCGCTATTTGCTACAAAACGAATAACCCAGAAAAACGAATTATTACGACGAAAAACGCATTCGTCGCCATATGTTGCGACGAAAAAATAGATTCGTCGCAGGCTTAGCGACGACCGCTTTGGCGACGATTTTTTGGCACCGTTCGCGACGAGTTTTTTTCGTCGCAATTATTGATATTTCGTCGCAAATACCATATTTTCGTCGCTAGATTTCGTCGCCAGTGTCCTGTTTTGGCCTAGTGAGTAGTTGCTATTTGTTGGCGCCATATTTCCGGCTATTGAAGATCGAGGAAATCCGCCAAGTTTTGGAATTAAAAGATTGACAAAGATTTGTTTTCCATACTTATTTTGGAATTTATTAGAGTCCTACTCTTATAATACTTCTATTAGGACTTAGATTTATTTCCATGTATTTTATTCTAGTTAGGTAACTTTTGTACTTATCTAGAATAGAAGTAGAAATCAACTAGGATTCTATTACCTAATTAAATAGATTTCTTGGGGTTCAAGTTAGGTCTTAGGGCTTATTTTCGTTGCTATATAAGCCTCCAAGACATACAAGAACCGTGTGCATTATTTGGGAGAAAAACCACTTCATAGCATCGAAGTTTTGCCAAGGCGTTCTGCGGAGCAGGACTGTGCCATCGTTGCACTGTGCCAACATATACAGATTTGCTGTATAGATCTCAAGGGAGATCAGCCGCGTTTTTCGAAGGGAGTTTAGGCTTGAAGAAAGTTCAAGGTACGCGGAGTGGAGCTGCTGTAGAGAGAGACACGGAGTTCGAGTTGTGTACAAGAACGGCGTAAAAATTAAAGAGGGAGTCTTTATTATTTTTAAGAAGTCCTATTAATGTACACTGTAAATCTGAACTAGTGAAATTGTGTTTGCAGATCCACGTGGATGTAGGGCACATATGTGTCTGAACCACATTCATTTTTTGTGTTCATTTATTTGCTTTAAGTAGTTTATAACTGTGTTAACACAAGAATTATAGTTGTAACTGAATACTGTTTCTACAACTTAACTGTTACAACTTAGGTTAATTGATTTCTATAGGCATATGAATCAACAATTGGCATCAAGAGCCTCTCACTAGATATACATAGTGTGTGATTTTGGGAATTTGATTTATTTGCATTTTATCTTCCATAGGAACTATGAATGCTCATATGGAAGGCGGTTCCACGACTCGCCCACCACTGCTTACTGGAACCAATTACTCTTATTGGAAGACCAAGATGAAGATGTTCATCAAGTCAATGGATGAAGATGCATGGCGCACAGTTCTGACTGGCTGGAAACGACCTGTTGCCACAGATGAAAAAGGAATCGAAAGTGAGAAACATGAAAGAGACTGGAACAAAGCTGAGCAGATTGCGGCAAACAAGAATTCCAAAGCCTTGAATGCTATATTCAACGGAATTGACATCAATCAATTCAAGATAATCTCAGCATGTGAGTGTGCCAAGAAAGCATGGGAAAAACTTCATACAGCCTATGAGGGGACTACCTCTGTTAGATTATCAAAACTTCAGATGCTTGCTACTCGTTTTGAGGATCTTCGGATGGAGGAAACTGAAACCATGAGCCATTTCAACTCCAAATTATGCGACATCGCAAATGAAGCCCATGGCCTCAGTGAAACTTACCCTGAAGTAAAACTTGTTCGTAAAGTGCTAAGATCTATGCCAGACCAGTTCGCATATAAGGTCACTACTATAGAGGAAGCAAGTGATGTGGACTCATTGCGGCTTGAAGATCTGATCGGAAATCTACAGACCTTTGAAAACAAACTGAACATCAGTAGAATGGATAAAGAGAGAAAAATCGCTTTACAAACTGTGTCTGTTGTGACACCATCCGTGTCCTCAGCTCCCATGACAGCACTCGAAGTCAAACTAACAAAATCCATGTCTCTAATAGCCAAAAACTTCAGAAAACTCGTGAAAATGAATGGACATCCCAGAAGTCCTACAAACAAGCAAGAAGTTAGGAAGGGGATTCGATGTAGAGAATGTTGTGGCTATGGTCATATTCAATCTGAATGTGCAAACACTCAGAAGAAGCAAGGAAAATCACTTGCTACAACCTGGAGTGACGATAACTTTGAATCTGATGATGAAAGTGAAGCAAGTGATGCTGAAACAAGTATTGACTTCTGTGGTACATGCAGGGTTACTGACGTGACACAAGATGTTGTCACATGCACTGAACCACCACACCTCAGGTATGCTACTCGTAATCTCGAGAATCATAGAAATTTAAACACAATTTTTTTGCCCACATGAGAAGAAGATTCAAAGAATGATGAAGAATGCTCCATTGAGATGATTCAACAGCAACTGAATGATCTTCTAAAGCAATGTCATAAGGTTTGTGATGAAAACAAGCGTTTGAAGGAGAAAGTAAAGGAGAATGAAGCAGTTAGAGTCAACCTGAAGGCCAAAATCGATGAGCTTGAGTTAGAAAATGAGGCACTTGAGGTAAAACAGGATTTTGCTTTGAAAGATATTGACAATCTAAAAGAATTGCTGAGACATTTGCGAAACAACGATTGCAATAAGACAAGGCAGATCAAGAAAAATCCTCCTCCAATGAAAAAAGTTGAACCCTGCCTCAACCTGAAGTGTGACAACTCCCCTGTCGCAACAACGTTAGATGCGTCAGTCAGTAAGTTAAATCGCACTACGATTCTTCCTTCTAACAGGTTAGATGAAATTTTAAATGCTCATCCCTCAAATTTTGATAAACTTGGTCTTGGCTATATTGGGAGTAAGTTCGATGGTAAACCTAATCCAAATCGAAAAATTAATTTTGTGAATAATATTGTCAAACCTACTCCACAACATGTTGCCTCACATTCTTATACAAAAAAGTTTGTGCCAACTTGTCATTTATGTCATAAAGTAGGACATGTTAGGCCAAAATGCTTTAAAAGATGGAAATTGATTAATAAGAGTTTAGCATATCAATCATCCAATTCCGCTGCATGGGATCACAATTCCCAAAGAAGATACTCTGATAATAAATGGATGAATAAGTATAATGCAAACTGCCTTCCTGCTATTCTTTCTTTAAAAGCATGTACTACGAACTCTTGGTATTTTGATAGTGGTTGCTCCAAGCATATGACAGGTGTACCTAGTCACTTAAAGAACCTGCATAATGTGTTTTGTGGACAAGTTACTCTTGGTGATGGAAACAAGGCCTTTGTGAAAGGATAAGGTAACTTGGATGTTGGAGGATTACCTAACATTGACAACGTTCTGTATGTAGAGGGTTTGAAATCAAACCTACTCAGCGTAAGTCAGCTATGTGATCAATACGACTCAGTGTTGTTCACCAAGCGTAAGTGTGAAGTGTTTGATCGAAACCACATGTGTGTTCTATCTGGTTATAGATCCTCTGACAATTGTTATAAAATTGATCAAACTGACCAAGTTGAACAGTGTCCCCTCGCCACCTCTGATATCACAGATATGTGTTGTTATCGACTGGGGAATTTGAATTTTCAGGATCTAACACGAAATATTAATGCAGGTTGAGTGAAAGGTGTTCCCCAACTAAACTCCAAAAGACCAGATTTATGTGCGAATTTCTAATGGGGAAACAAACTGAGAGTATTGGAAGAGAAATACCAGAAGACAAAATCACTGAAGTATCAGTGCCGACATCTTATGTCACAACTGAAGATGTTACC